ATTTAATATATTGAAAAATGGCAGTGAAAACCAATCTAAATTTAAAATAGAGCTAGAGTTGGCATCGCATATTTGCATGTTGCCACTATATGCTAGACATCTAGACGCCTTATTGTTTGAATTTGTCGTCCAACTTCATACTTTGTCCGGTTGCAATTGTTGCTTGTGCAAAGTAATTGCCTCATCACCTATTTCTATTTATGTTTTCTCGCCTTTTTAAGCAGATCTTCTATACACTAATGAATATGCATTGGAATCTTTTTCCAGCCAGACTGCCCTACATTATTGTCAATTGTGGCCATTATGTAATATTCATTCCGTCCGCGTCATGATCATTGAATTGCCCTGAACCTATTGCTTGGGTTGGGAGTTGGGACCCTTTGTACTCGCAATGGGTGTCAACTGTCAAACTCACTCTTTTGTTTCTGTCTCCACAGCATTAACGTACAATTCAATTCCTTCCATGCACTAACAAAGTTTTTCTTTTTCTTTTGTTTTCTCCCTACATTATCGTTTTACTTCTATTCCCATCACAACATTAATTTGCTGATATGGATACTACATATTCTGCTTTTAAGAGCATAACACTTTTGGCAGGGATTACTCAATCAAATTAAGGAGGCGATGCCATGATGACATTTTATTATTTTACTAATTAGGTTCAGTTTGGAAAGAGTATGTAAAGTGCAAATATATACAAAATATAAGGTTTTACACTTTATATATACTAGTAAATGTGAGCGTGCTTTGAACGTTGAAATTTTAAATTACAATGACAATTATTATAATCACCACTGTTATTATTATTATTTAATTTTGTATTCTATTTTCATCATAAAATAAAAATAGTTTTTATTTTAACAATTTTTTATTTAATATAGTGCATATATAACATTAGAAATGTCCCCAAATGTTTTTGACAAAATTGTATACTTTTTATTTTTGTGTTTTATCTTTTTTAAATATTTATTATTCATCATTAATAAAAATATTTATTACATTTCATATTTAATTTTATTTAGTATAATGGATATATAATATTAGAGATATGCTCAATTCTTTTTTTTTGTATTTTTATATATTATTTATTTTGATTTTTTATTATTTGATTATGGCATTATTGGTCAACCCATTTGACCCAAATTGTTGAATTGCTTACCCACCACCGGGAGGGAAGAAAATGGTTTTATTTTTAAGTTATTTTTCAAAATATTTATTTTTATATTATTAAAATCAATGTTGTGTGTTTAATTAATAGAATTTAATGATGAGAAAAACATATCTTAAATATATACCTGAAATATGAGACTTAATGAGAGAGAATAGGAAAATAATTTTATTTCCAATTGGTTTTAAATTTAATATTCCATTTCCATCATTAATTAAAGTGTTTCTTATTTATCATACTTACTCTTGTCTAATATGATGAATATATGATATTAAAGATGTTCCCAAAATTTTCTTTAATTTTTATATTTTTTGCATTTTATAAAATTTTAATTTTTTTATTTAACTGTGGCAACAATACAACATGGGTTGGCCTATTTGACCCAAAATTGTTTAATTTCTTACCACCATATAAGAATACTACTTTTCTAAGTCAATTTCAAAAGTACAAATTTTTATGTTACTAGAAATATTTATGTATAGATTTAGTTAGTGGAATTTAGTAATTAAAAAAAACAAAAATGGCTTAAATGTATGGCTAAATGAGGGTGAATGATAGTTAATACCTTAAATGGAATTTAATGAGAGGAAATTGAATGCAATGCTTAATAGTATTCAAATTACTTTTTCTGGCCTCATAATAGATAGGGACCCTATTTCAAAAAGGGTATTTTAGTCCAAAAAATCCAAAAATCTTAGACCCTATTTGTACTTTAATTTCTACATATATTTTTTTTTGCATTTTATCAAGCTTTAATTTTTTATTATTTAATTGTGGCAACAATGCAACATGGGTTGGCCTATTTGACCCAAAATTGTTTAATTTCTTACCACCACATAAAAATACTGCTTTTCCAAGTTAGTTTCAAAAGTACAAGTTTTTATGTTATTAGAATTATTTATGTATGGATTTAATTAGTGAAATTTAGTAATTAAAAGAAACAAAAATGCCTTAAATGTATGATTAAATGAGGGTGAATGAGAGTTAATATCTTAAATGGAATTTAATGAGAGAGAATTGAATGCAATGAATAGTATTCAAATTACATTTTCTGGCCTCATAATAGATAGGGACAGTACTTCAGAAAAGGGGTATTTTAGTCCAGAAAAAAAATCTAGAAATCTTAGACTATATTCGTACTTTTTATGGTAGTATAGATTTATATATTAATTATAATCACATAATATATAATATATGTTTTTATTAATTGTATATTTAATATAGGGAAAGAAAATAGTTTTTTTAGTTTACATGAAAAGTACAATAAAATACAAAAAAAATCTGGTTAACCGGTTAATTTGATTAAATTTTGATTTGGACATTTTTCCTAATTACTGAATGTTTTGGTTTGGGTAGCATTTGGTAAAAATGAGCTCTGATTATTAAGAAGGCAAAAATGATCTATGTGGCTCTAATTGGCCAAAGTTTGCACCTTTTGCTTTTCCGTACTGTAGATGTAATTAAACTGTTTGAATATATACATGTTGTAACATCTCTAAATGGCCAAAATTTGCTCCTTATGCAAATTATTTGCACTAGTACATATGCATAGGAGTGCAAATGAAAAAAAATGTAAATTCTCATTTAATTTTGTTTTGGGTTTTACTTTATTCTGTTTCATGTCTTTATTTACTTCATTTATACTGCAATCATACAAAATAAACTAAAATTTGAAACAAAAAAAAATAGGTCAGAATTTGCACTGCCATAATTTTGCAGCAGTACAAATTTATTTGCACTGCAACCAAACACAGCCTTAGGCTATGTTTGGAAGGTGTATAAATACAAATATGTAGATTGCAAAACCTTGTATTTTTTATTATTTTGTATGTATTTGTACTGCACCTATTTGTATTTATACTCCTTCCAAACTGAGCCTTATGAACTTGTGTTTTTCTAGATGAAGAGAAAAAATTGAAAATATGTGAATAAAATGGTTTAGTAGTATTGGCTCCATAAAGCAAAAAGAATTTTGGTTTTAGTTAAGAATAAGATACATGGGTATTTTTGCCACAGAGTGAGAGGTGTGTTTTAGAACAAAAGGTTATAAATATTACATCAAACAGTTTGGGACATCTTTTCAAACATAAAATAAATGTTCATTCAGTGTAAACGAACGAGTCTTTAGCTGATTTGTCATACCAATTCTGGTCCTACTCTTTTCAGAGAACACATTAATTAATGCCCTTTCTATCCCCTTTACAAATTTACAATATTATATACTAAGGTAGGGTAGGGACACTGATCAGTGATCAGTGGTGGAGTCATTTAGTGATCAACTCTGTGCCCTGGCTATTCTTGTGTGCATTATTAATGCTTGTCACCTTTAGAGTTGTATGGTTCTGGGCTTTGGACCAAACACTTGTGCAACTTCTCAATATGACAACAATGGAGGACAATATCCAAGTTGCTAAGGTCTTCAGTGGACCTTGGTCTAACAATTTATAGATGAATCCATTCAAACTAAATCACTAAAGAGGCTGAAATGGGTGGGCTTACATCACAAATTAAACCGGAATTCGGTGGCCGGCCTGGCCCATCCCATGCAACTAATTGAGTGCCTTCTCTCCCTAATTTGCGGGGGCACGTTACCGTTATCATTGAACAACCCATCTCAAATCAAAGTACGAAGACAAGACATACTACCTTTTATGCTCTAACCTTTCTCTTTCGCTGCTATCATAATTTTTGATTTCATAATAAGATCGGACGTAAGACGTTTTATAATATATAATTAAAAACAACATAAAGATGATTTAAGAAATATTATCTTCGCAAAGAAATCAGTTTTCTCATAAAACGACGTCCGGTCACGGCTTTATTTTTCAAACCGTTTACCACGTGGCAACGTGGTCCGTCTACTTTGGATTCATTGATTAACTAAGGGAGTGCCCTGCGCCACGTGGCAATTAGTGGGAGGGCTATTCGGTAAATTACACAGGAGGTAGTTTTCACAAGCAAGTGGATAGGTGGGCAATTAAGACACGTGACAACTGACAAGACAAATTGATACTGCGTGGTTGGGGACGAGCCTTAAATAACTAAATTCCAATCTGACGTCACAGAGTTTCCCGCTTGCAAATGAAATCGTTACTTATTCAAATTCAATTATGGATAAATTCAAATTTATTTCTTGCTGCTGGTCTTCGGCTTATTTGGACTTTGGACACAACTGAAAAAGATTTTGGATGCATAATCAAGTAATCAACGAGTCAAAAGCATCTACCGAATCTGACGGTCTAAATTAAAAGAAACAAATGCTCGTGGTTCCCTCTTCGCCGTATGCGTCAAGCGCGCTCCAAGTCTCCCAGACTCCAACTACCCCCTATTTTCAACGAATTCACGACTATACCCCTTAATCCCTTATTTCTTCTAATATTCGGATTATACTCTTTCATAGATTTTTACTATTATCAAAGCCAGATATAACAGGGTTATCGGGTAATCGTGCAAACGGTTCCAAACCCAACTTGTCGATACAGATGCATCATATGCCACAAATATGAAAGTTGTGTCAGATGAGGAGAGGAGATGGTACTACATATAAGAAATCGAAGCTGTCTTCTGTTTTTTCAAATTTTTCCGTTACTCGTAATTTTCTTTCTTTTGCATGATTTAGGTATCAATTATCAACTCTAGCTGTAAGCCTGTCAGTCTGTAACCAATTTGTCGTTGGTACGGTAGAGTTAAGAATTAACGAGAGGGGCATATTGGTAACTAATGGAATTCAAATATAGGGTAAAAGTCGTAATTTCCTCTAAACATGGGAGCCAATCTGTACTTCCAATCCTGATTTTAAAGCAAGTTTCAGACCCCAAGTGTTACTTCGAAGTTCGATCAGGTCTCTGTGTGTGTGTTTTGTTTTAATTTAATTTCACTTTTTTCTTTTCCTTGTTTCTCACTTCTCAGATCATATAATCAGGTCCATAGGTTTGGACTTTAGAGACGAAGTCGAATGTGCAAAAATGGGACCTATCTGGAAATTTTGAATTTCTGCTAAAGCAAAGCTTTAAGCTTCCTTGGAAGGGGGTGTTTTTGATGCTTTTAATGGAATGTAAGTTAGGTTTGGAGAACAAAAGCGACAGCTTTCCGGAGCTGTAACGCGAAAAATCTGAAGAAATCGAAGCTCTATTGCTGCCATTAATCCTCTTCCGCAAGATCTTATTTGCAAAGTTCCTCGATATTGCCAGAGGCCCAGACCTCGTTTTTTTTTTTCGTTTCTTTTGTGACGGAAGTATGAACATGAACACTCCGTGTTGGACGAATTTTTTTCTGAGAAAAAATGGGTCTTTGAATGAAGGCTTCTGGAACTGTGTTTGAATTCGGCGAACGAGGTCGAGAAAACTGAGTTTTGGTTCGCTTTCGGCGGTTTGTTTCATCACTCTCTTGTCTGAGAAGTTCTCCTTGTAGGTCCATTTTGGGGTTGGATTAGGGGTCCTGGAATCATGTTAACGACGGTGATGCCTTCCACCACTGCCCGTAGCTCGCTGGAAGAAATGCTGGATTCCATCCGGCGAAGGGACGAGCAGCCTAAAGATGTACCTCCGGCATTGCCTACACGTCCGAACTCCAAGGCTCGGCTGCCCTCGAATAGAAGGTCTTTGCTTCATAATTTCAAGATTGGGGATGGCGTTACAGTGAACTTGCCAAATGGTGGCAAAGTGGACAAGGGGGAGAAAAAGGGCCGAGCACAGAAGGAAGAGAGAAAGAGGGACGGGATTTTCACAGAGGAAGTCAAGGAATTAGGAACCGAAAGTGGCAGTTTTGGGAGCAAAAAGATGAAAGTCGACTCGCCTGCAGAGACACCCTATGGTAGGAGGTCACAAGAAGAGGAAAATTATGAATCTGATAACATGGATCCTTCAGAAGCAGAGCCTTCCACCTCGTTACCGTCAACTGAGGAGTCTGAGCGTGGGTACAACATCGGCTATGTTTTGAAGAAGGTATGCAGTGCTCTGCTCCTGAAAATAATTGCAAATATTTAAACTTAGCCGTATGCATTGAGTTTAGAGGAAACTAAAAGAAAGAAAAAAAGGTAAGCATGTTCTTTTACGCCAGATTTCTTCTTCTTACCTCTGCCAAACACGAAAATTCAGGTTTCCGCACTTGCTGGAATCAGAATTTAATTCCATAGTCCATACTCACGGAAGAGCAGGGTTCACTAGACCATTCTTCGCTATAAGTGTATCACTAAATTTGATACTTAAGTTCTTACTCTAAGAATAACCTTAAAAATATGACCATAGCTGAGGAAGAATGTTTGTACCTGTTTACTAAGGCAGCTCACAGATACATTTAAGATGGGATAATACATATTGAACTTAGGCTCTGTACTGAAGCAGAGCCCTAATTGAAACTGCGTTCAAGAACTTTGGATGTCATGGTTGTGGGGGAGCTAATTCTCTGATTATTTAGCAATGGAAGTATTTTTCTTATGATTCTTAGTATATGTATTTTGTCCACTCTTCTGTTGCAAACCAAGGGTTGCTATCTTTATATTTTACCATTCAGACATGCATTTCCTGTTGTTCTCTCATTCAACAATTAAGCCAAAATATTTCTAGAACATTTTATCTGGGTGCCCATGACTGCACTTTGAAGAGAATTTTGCAACCATCATAATGACAAAATATTTCCTTTGGACACTTCTAAGTAATTTCTTTCATCAAATGATGTTAGTTAAAGGTCTGTGAGGGACCTAGTGGGTGTGGTTTACAGGATTGCCCAGTTGGAGTCAAGGGCTTGTTCTAGGATGCTGGGTTATCTGGGTTCTTCTTTTGTTTATTTTTGTCTTTGTTAATTTTTATCATAAAGAAGGTAATTTGCTATTTGTTATGTTTCTCATCAGTTGACTCTTTTAATAAACATTCATAAAAGTTAAAGAGTTTTTTGCTTCCAGAAACTTCGGGTATGGTGTTGTCTTTCAAATGGTCAGTGGGAGTTGGGAAAAATTCAATCAACTTCTGGCAAGGATGCTGTTGTTTTGCTATCTGGTGGCAGCGTGAGTTCATGAGTCATTGCTATCATTTTAAAGCTACATCAGTATTCAACTTCAGGCACTTCCACAATTCAACCAGTGGAACTTGCACGCACTTATACTTTTCATTGTCCCTCAGGTTGTGACAGTGCCCACAGGGAATATCTTACCTGCTAACCCAGATATCCTTGAGGGGGTAGATGACCTTATACAACTAAGCTACCTGAATGAGCCATCAGTTCTTCACAATCTTCAATACAGATATTCTCGGGATATGGTTTATGTGAGTATCATCCATACATGTTATTTTTTTTTTGGATCTCATGGTGTTTCTGGTACCAAACTCATTTTAACAATTCTAATCTCTGTGTGTGTGTAGAGTAAAGCAGGTCCTGTTTTGGTTGCAATCAATCCCTTTAAAGATGTTCAACTATATGGAAATGAATTTATCACAGGTTATAGGGATAAGGTTATGGATAACCCTCATGTTTATGCTATAGCAGATACTGCCTTCAATGAGATGATGAGAGGTGAACATGGTTTACTTGTTTGGAGAAATTCTATTGCCTTAATTGATTATGCATTGCTTTTTTCTGAAGACACATATTCTTGTTTTCTGGTGCTGTTGGATATTGCAGATGAAGTTAACCAATCCATCATCATTAGGTAAGTCATCTGTGTGATAATTATATGCAAAGCAGTGACCTTTGTCTTCATACACATTGAATTCTTTTTCAAGTTGCCTTCCTTTATAGTGAGGCTTTGAATTTTCATCCTCTTTTTAGTTATGTTACATGAGCTTTTTTCCTTTCTTGGTCTAAATATGAGCTTGGACTTGCTGTAGTGGGGAAAGTGGAGCTGGGAAAACTGAAACAGCAAAAATTGCAATGCAATACTTGGCTGCTCTTGGAGGTGGCAGTGGAATAGAATATGGAGTCCTTCAAACAAATTGTATATTGGAAGCATTTGGGAATGCAAAAACATTGCGGAATGTCAACTCTAGCCGATTTGTAAGTGCTTTTTATCTTCTGTGGAAGGTGTCTTCATGCATATTATCATTTGAAGTTTGAGATCATTTTCTTTTTCAATTTCAAAATAATACTGAACTTTTTATGATAAATAGTTCTTCAAGATATATGCTTTTTTTTTCTGCATCCTGTATGTAAAACCAATGGGTTGAGATTATTTGAAGGATTCACAGTTGAACATGTTTCTCATGATGTGGTATAGGGGAAGTTGATTGAAATTCATTTCAGCACAACTGGGAAAATTTGTGGTGCTAAGATTCAAACTTGTAAGCATGCTCATATTGATTTGTTCTGCTTTTTTTTTGCAACCAAATTTCAATTTTTTTTTTTTTTTTTTTGGGTTAGTCCTGTATCTGTAATAACTAACTTTACTTCTTCAACTGTGTCTATGGTCATCAAACTTCAACTTACCAAAAAAAATTGTTGTTAGTTCTGCTTGAGAAGGTAATCCACTATTTCATGATCTCATCTGGTATTCTGAATTGTAGCTTGAGTTCCATTTATCACCATCTTCTACCAATTTGAGTGTCCTGTCTTTTATAAGCAGTCAAGAGTGGTTCAGATAGCTAAGGGAGAACGGTCATATCATATCTTCTATCAACTATGTGCTGGAGCCCCAGCATCTCTTAAAGGTGGTTGTTCAATCTTATTGCTTCTTGTTTCTATCTTCTTTATACTTAATTATCTTGGATGCTGCCTTTCTATATTTTCTGTGTTCATGGTCTTCTTACTTAGGTATTTTATGGTTTCAGAAGTTCTTCAAAAGTTAAACAAATTATGATAGTCATGAGTTCTTTGTTGTTGTCTTTATTTTCTGCAACACATGTATTACATGGCCAGACAGGTTGGGACCTGTCACTTTAAATGGTCCTTCAGGGGTTTTCTAGTTTAGGAATACAATATGTTGGCCTTTTAGTAGATAGTTTTCCGTGTTCAATTGCATAAGTCATGTCATTCAATCAGGTTTTAACTGTTTTATCTCACTGGTATCCATTTGGATGTTGATCCTTTGTTCCTGACTACTTTGATGCATGAGTAAAGCAGAGCCAAGGAGAATGGCTTGATTCAATCTCCTTGACCTGATTTCTCCCAATCCCAACTATTTTGATAATGTTAGAGAAACTGCTATTATTGTTAACCTGTAGTGATAAAGTAAGATACATGCATGACTTTTATGTCTGTGTTCTTTTTGTTTTTGGACTTTAGTGGTTTAATATGCCATGCTTAGTTTCAAAATCTTTTATTACTTGGCAGAAAGGTTGAACCTGAAAGCTGCTAGTGAATACAACTATCTTAAGCAGAGTGGTTGCTTGACAATTGATGATGTGGATGATGCAAAGAAATTTCACATGTTGATGGTAACGTGAAGAATAACATGTTTCTGTTATCTGTCACTACACATTCTGAATACCAAATTTCCAATTTAACTTGTGCTATCTAAGTTTCATAATGCTACAATTCTATTTTCATATTTCTTTGTTTGATCAGGAAGCCTTAGATATCGTTAAACTTCCCAAAGATGATCAAGAGAATATATTTGCAATGCTTGCTGCAGTATTATGGCTAGGAGACATTTCCTTTCAGAAAATTGATAATGAAAATCATGTGGATGTGGTGGCAGATGATGGTAATGTGGATATAATTTGTTTTTTTAAATGGGTCTTTATTTTTGTTTAATTTTTCAAATATAAGTTAACAGGTTGATGTTCTTTTGGAGGAACCTTCCTTTTTGTCTCTAATTTTATTAATGGGCTCTTTCATAATTTGTTAGAGGGCGATTTATGTGTGAACTCAACCTTGGTATAGATAGTGCATGTTAGAACTCCTTGATGTCTGGTAGCCTGACCAATTCAATCTTACCAAAGCCTGAAATGTGTAGTGCATATTTATTATATTAGTTTATGTACATTATAAGAAGCTAAGGTGCTTATCTTGGTGGTTAAGGAATTCAGATCTGTGTCAACCTGCCATAACCTGATTTGGTAACGTGTTAAGCTTATGTTAGGTTCAGGTTAGTGGTTATTTGATTGTCTCTTCATTTCCTTGGATATGGTGATGCTTCTTGGCAAAATGACCCAACAAAAGGTTCTCCTTTAGTAACTTTTGGCATGCCAAAACTGCACCATGGTGGATATGGCAAATTGGTAATACTTCTTTCCTTTGGAGTCTTCGCCCAAAGTGGAAGAAAACAACCATGTGTATGTTTGGAATGGCTTCTGTTTATTAAGTAAACGTTTGTACTTGATTTGTCTTCAAAACTGAGAAACAGTACTGGATAAATGTTTTGCCATAATTTGTTGACAACTAGATGCCATTAGGGGCCACCTCAGCGAAACAGTAAATAAATGCTTAACTGTTGGGGGAAGCGTTAAAATGAAGCTTCCCCCAACGGTTGATGCACACGTAAATCAAGACCAAAAGGTATCCATAATTATGCGTACGAAACCTTATGATGGGACAAATGCTGATTTGGTGATGACATGGTACCGTTTATTTGATAAACAGAAGGCATACCCAACACCACCCATGTAAGAGTATATCTGGATACTGGTTCTTGTAATATTGAGAATCGGGCACTCATTTGGATCTGTGATAACTAGATACTTGTGCATGCATTTGTTAAGTATCAGATACAGATACTTATTGGATGTTATACTGGATGCTGCACATATAGTTTTAGATGTATGCTGTAGAATTATCACTTTTAAAATATGTAAAGTGGTATGCAATATTTTAAAAGGCGTGCCTCCAGGAGAGGCGCTCCCAAAATGCCCTGAGGTGTATGCAAGAGGCACTGACACCTCTGAGGCGTACTCCTCCGGTGCAAGAGGCGTATGCCTCATGCGCCTCTTGCACATCTTACATAAAAAGACAAAAAAAAAGAAAAAAGAAAAAAAGGAAAGGAAAGGAAAGGAAAGGAAAGGAAAGGAAAAGAAAAGAAAGGGAAGGGAAAGAAAAAGAAAGAGAGGAAAAAAAGAGAAAAGGAAAGAAAAGAAAAGATAAGGGGAAAGAAAGTGGTTGCCCCTTGCCCCTTCAGTTGGGGGGCTTCGCCCCCCAAACCCCCCCGCCCCCTTTTCAATGCAGCCCAATTTGATTTTTGAGTTAGGTGAGCTTGCTTTGCTCGCTTGCCTCTGCTTCCACAAGACCCCCCCGTTCAACTAATGCTATGCATCTTTATTCTTCTTAATATAAAAGATTTTTATTAAAAATAAAAATCCCCCCTTCCTCCTCCTAACCCTCCTCCTCTTAAGGAGGTTTACGCTTCTTGCGTTCTGAACTACGCCTCACGCCTCTAGGTAGTGGAATGCCTCGCGTCACGCCTACGCGTTTTAAAACATTGGTGGTATGTTTTAACAAATTAGACTACAAAAATATCTGCACATTTTAGAAATTTAATTAAATTTGGAAAGATATAAGTCATGAGAATTGACAGTTAGCCTAAAAAACCTGATATAAATGCATGATGTAAGCATATTACATGATGTTTTAACAAATTAGACTGCATTATCTTCACTTGTTAATTAAATTTGGCAAGACATAAGTCTTGAGAAATTATAGTTAGCCTAGAAAACTAGATATAAATGCATGACATGAATATGAACATATTACTAGGGATACCTGTACTGTATATGTGTCCAGAATTTTAAGAAATTCAGGATCATCTTCCTGTTTCTTGTATCAGTATTCACTTCTGTATATGTATTCCTTGCTTCTTTTATTAGTATTTGCTTCTGTATTTGTATCTGGGTATCATAGGTTTGGATTATAAGTAGGCCTTATGTCAAACAGTTGAATAATGTTACAATTGTGAAATGCACCTGCAATAATTCAAAAATATAGAAAAAGAAAGAGAGGTTTCAATAGAGATTTGTGGAAGAAGAAGAGAAGGGAAGAGAGAAATCTCTAGCCCCCCCTCCCCCCCCAAAGATGTTCTTTTATTCCTTTAATTCTAAACTGATTACAATTCCCTGGATGCCCTTAATGGGGTGGTCTAAAGAATTAATAAAACAAAACAAAAAAAGGCCCTTAACTAAAAGAACATAAGCTTAAAACATAACTTAAAGGAAGTAAAGACATTAAGGCCCATTCGGCCCATTCTCACCACACTCCCCCTTAAGCTAAGCATAGATGTCAATCATGCCTAGCTTGCTTATATACTGTTGAAGCTTTGCTTTTAGAACTCCCTTAGTCAGAAAATCTGCTAGTTGCTCTGTTGATGCAATGAAATGAAGGCACACCTCTTTTGAAGCCACTCTCCCCATATAAAGTGTTTGTTTACCTCAATGTGCTTAGTTCTAGCATGCTGAACCGGGTTGTGAGCAATGTTAATAGCAGCTTGGTTATCACAATTTAACATCAGTGGCTTGATACATGAGACACTCATTTCATCAAGGAGAATCTAAGCCATAACAACTTAGAAACCTCATGGGCCATAGTCCTGTACTCTGCTTCAGTTGAAGAGCTAGCAACTATTGAAGATCTGCACGCCTTACCTTGCATCTCCTTACCATATATACTAGGAGGAAGGGGCATATATATTTCTTCAATGAGATCACCATTCAAGAATGCATTCTTAATATCAAACTGATAAAGAGGTCAATCATAGCTCACTGCTAAGGATAAAAGAACTCCCACGTAAATCATTTTAGCAATTGGAGAAAAGGTCTCAATGTAATATATCCCATACACCTGGGTATATCCCTTAGCAACAAGATGTGCCTTGTATTTCTCAATTGACCCATTTGCATGATACTTGATAGTGTAAACCCACTTGCACCCAACAGGTTCCTTCCCAGTTGGGAAATCAACACTATCCTAGGTATTATTTTTATGAAGTGCTTCTCTTTCAGTCCTCATAGCCAAGGTTAAAAGTATCGACACGTATCGGCCAATATCGTCCGATACGTATCATGCTGATGGCTTCCCGATACGCCCTTACAAGGGTTGTGTCGGGTTAGACCATGGTTCAGAGGGTAGTCGGGACTTAAACCGAGCCTTTTTAATCGGTTTTGCAAAAAATAAATAAAACATAAGAAAAAGCACCGACAGAGGCTGATACACCCTGTGTCGATATTTAGAACCTTGCTCATAGCATCCCACCACTTTGGTTTGGTTAAGGCTTCAGTTACCGACTTTGGGATGGATTGAGATGAAATAGAGGCTAAAGAGGAATAGTAGGATGGGGACAACAAGCTATAGCAAAGGTGTTTGGCAATGCAATGAGATGTACATTTCCTCTTACCCTTTCTCAAAGCAATGGGTATGTCAAGGTCTAGAAATGAAGGTGCTGGTGGTGGAGATGTCGAACTTGCCATCTTTTTGGTGATTGGAAGCACTTGAGACTTAATTGGATGTGTGGGATCAACTTGTGTTTGCCTTAGCCTTTGCTGTTGGTACCACCTTTTGAGAATAGGATGAGTGGTAAAAACTAGAGTATTGGCAAGAGGGGGAGGAGCAGGAATGGAAGACCTCGAAGGAGAAGACCCCTTCATGGGAATGAGGGTAATTGTGGAGGCCTTGCCACAAAACTCAATAGGAATTGGCAAAGGAAGGGATGGAGAAAACAATTCAAGAGATCTCTCCTCCTTAGAAGGATGACTATAAAAAGGGACAGGCTTTGCAAAGGTGACATCCATGGAAACAAATTGGGTGCCACTAATGGGATCAAAACAACAATACCTTTCTGTGTGGAGGCATGACCAGTGATTTAAAAGGCGTGCTTAGGCGCATAGGCGAGGCGCGTTTTAGGGTAGGCACCTCGCCCAGGTCCTAGGCGTAGCCCATTCAAAAGGCGTGCACCTTTTGAAAATTTGTCGCTTTTTCCTTTTTTTTTGAGTTTGGTGGCTGGGCTGGGGGCTCCACCCCAGACCCCTGTGCCATGCCCCTCGAAGCCAGCCCAAACAAGTCCATGTTAGGGTCTTAAATTCTTAGTTTTCACATAAAAAATAATAATTTTATAGTTTTAATTGCTTTCTCTTTCTCACCGAAGCTTCGAGAATCCCCTATTTAGTAATGTTGTCCATTCATTCATCCTAATAAAATATCTTCTTAAAAGCAATTAAAACTATAAAATTATTATTTTTTGTGTGAAATTTAAGAATTTAAGTCCCTAACATGGACTTATTTGGGTTTGTCTCAAGGGGCGTGGCACAAAGGTGGCTTGTAGAATTAAGAATGTAATAATATGTCACATTACCTACTTGATGCAATTGAGAGAAAAAGAGATTGTGGGTTTTATATGCTTGAAAATGTTTTATATGTTTGATTTCATTTTTAAATTCTCATTTGAATATGCTTTACATATTATATTTATGTATTTTAATTTTAGATAATAGGTTTTTTAAAACATTTATTTTAAAACTTAAGTTTATATTTTTATTAATATTATGCTTTATAGTTTTTTTTTTTGGTTTTTTAGCTTTTTTTTTTTTTAAATTGTGCGCCTTGCCTCAAAAAGGCGCACGCCTCGCCTTGCGCCTTGCACCTTTTTTGCGCTTTGTGCTTTTAAAGTACTAGGCATAACCAAGGAAGATACACTTATGAGCCTTAGGTTCGAACTTATGTCTCTTGGAACTGGGAATGTGGACATAGCAAGTGCAACCAAAGACAAGTAGAGGAATGGAGAAAACCTCAACATTAGGAAAGAGGACTCCAAAAGGAGACTTTAACCCCAAACCTTGGGAAGGCATAAGGTTAATAAGATAAGTGGTTGTTAAAACTACATTACCCCAAAACTTCACAAGAACATGGGTAGCAAAAAGAATTCTCCTTGCAATTTCCACAATATGTCGGCTTTTCCTCTTCGCTACTCCATTTTGTTGTGGAGTACGGGCACAAGAACTATGATGGACAACCCCAAATTTCTCAAGATAGGATGTAAGGTCCTCAAAATATTCCTTAACATTGTTTGATTGGAATATTTTATGCAAGTATTAAACTGAGAGAGTATATATTCATGGAACTATTGCACAAGTTTAGGCACTTCAGCACGAGAGCGCATAAGGTAAATCTAGGTATATCATGAAAGGTCATCAATAAACAGGATGAAATGTCTATAACTACTCATACAAGGTAAATGGTAAAGTCCCTACACATCATAGTCAACAATATTAAAAGGAATGACCGATCTTTTAATACTTAAAGGATAAGTATTCTTACAATGCTTTGAGAACTCACAAGACTCGCAATATAGAGTCGATAGACTTATTCCTTTAAACAGTTCTGGAAACAACTAACTCAATGAAGAGAAAGACAAATGACCCAAATGACTATGACATAACATAATACGACTAGTGGACTATGAAACAAACACAATTCTCTTAGGTTGTACTTGTCTCTACTTAGGCATGTCTAATAGATAGACCCCATTCGCCTCATGGTCATTCCTAATCACCTTTTTAGATTTCATGTCTTGAAAATCACAATATGAAGGGAAAACGATCACATTGCAATTCTGGGATTTAGTTAAATTACTAACTGAAAGCAAATTGGTATTAAGTTTAGGTACGTGGAACATATGATAAGGTCAGGGCATGTGAGGTCTGAATGTCTCCCTTTCTCGTGATAGGGGCAAGGGATATCTTGTTCTGACTAGAAAGGAGTTGGTAAGAGGTGAATAAATGTGAAACACTGGTCATATGGTCAGAGACACCAAAATCAATTATCCAAGAGATTTTATGAGTACCTGAAATAGTAGCATGATTTGCAATGGCACAAATACTTGAGTGTGCATACGTAGAGGAAGGAACCGTCTTTGAAGAAGTAGATGCTATAGCAGTAGACTCTAGATGACTAATTTTTCGGCCGTACTTCTCATACTCAACCCTGGTGGTTGCAAGTTGCTCACCCACTGATTTCTCACCACTTTGCCCCTATTCATTTTGTGAGGAGGTGGCTACATTTGCATTTCCACCTTTTCCATTCTCAATCCTCTTTCCACTGTTTCCATTCTTGGGTTTGGTAGGAATGAGCTCTGGGTGCAGCTTCCAACATGTGTCTTTAGTATGTTTAAGCTTTTTGAAATATTCACAGATAACATCTTTCTTCCTAGTGTTGACCTTCAACTTCATCCCGACATTAGCATAGTGATCAACCTGTAGCTCTACAGATTGAACCTGTCTTCTGCTCTCCTCACTACTCACCATAGCATAAGCTTGAGGCAATGTCACCTCATTCTTTGCCAAAACATTCTACTTCACAATACCATGCTTCGGGTTGAGTCCGGTGAGGAATTCAAATACTTGATTTCTCTCCACCAACTTCCTATGTGTTTTTACTTCCTTTGTACAACCCCAAACAATAGTCTCCATCAAATCAATCTCCTACTAAAGAGATTTCAGCACGAAGAAGTAGACGGCCAAGGGCTTCTCCCCCTATCTTAGATTATTCACATCATTCTCCAATTTGTAAGCCTGGGCAACATTTAGCTTTTGGGAGTAGGTCTTCGTTACACTATCCCACATTTCCTTTGCAGTTTCCATCCATAGATAGTGCTAACTAATATGTGGCTGCATAAAATTCACTGACCAACCCACTATTGTGTAGTTCTCCTGCATCCAACTTTCATAGGTATGGTCATCCTTTGCTAGTTTCTTCCTTGCTCCCGGTAATGTAACCCCATTTCCCTCTACTACACGTATTTTAATTGATTGAAACCAAGCTAAATAATTGGTTTCATCCAACTTGACAGTGGTCACTGCCCCCAATAGAGTCTCCACTAGCCCTCCATGTCCAAACTCGGAATCTGTGGGATTTTTGGTTTCTCTTTTAGTTTGCTCCATTGGGCGAATATATGCAAATGAAAATCAAATTAGGGTTTTACTAAGCTAGATTTGCTATTCTAATCAAAGAACAACTCTTCAACCACCCAAAACTAGGGTTTCATAGGACCCGGTAGGATGAGAGAAGGAGAGAAACTTCAACCCCTCATACCAGAGATTCCAGAACTCAGTCCAACCCAAAGCGCCCTTAATAGAAATCAAAAGATCCCCTTTGATCCATAAGCGCTAGCTTCAAAGTGCCTCTAGGACTTGTAACTCAGAAAATGTAGAAAAAGAAAAGAAAAGGAAGAAGAAAGAAAGGTTTCAGCAGAGGTTTGTGGAAGAAGAAGAGAAGGGAAGAGAGAAGAGAAGAGTTCGGTCCTTTCTCTCTAGCCCCCCCAAGATGTCTTTTATTCTCTTAATTCTAAACTGAGTACAATTCCTTGGATGCCCTTAATGAGGCAGCCAACACTAAAGAAATAATAAAACAAAAGAACATGGTGTAAGGACTCAATGGGAAAGACACTAAGGCCCAATGGGAAAGGAGATCGCCAAATGGGATGGCAGACTATTTGGCTAAGCAAGGGGTGACTAGGGATCATCTGTATTGAGCTCAATTGCAATATATCTTTTGCAATTGAGACTGCATCTCTAAACTAGGATTTGGGGGGGGGGGTGTTCAGAAATGCAGATGCTCACATTTTAGCTTTATTCTCAGGTCCCATTGAAGTAGGGAATGCTGTGAATGCAGAACTCCTTGCAGTCTTACAAGGAGTGGAGCATGCTAGAGAGTTGGGCTTTGGCGGTTTACTAGTTGAAGGTGACTCTAAACTGGTAATCAGGTGGATAAGGGAACCAGAGAAAGTGCCTTGGTCATTTAGGGGGGCTTTGTGAAGAATTAAATGGCTAACCACAAGCATTGAAGTAAGGTTTCATTGGGAAAGAAAATTGGCCAATGGGGTCGCTGGTTGTTTAGCTAAGCAAGGGGTACACAAGAATCATTTGTTCTGGGCACAGTTGTAATTTGTTTTTACTCTTTGAGTTTGCATCTCGCTTCTCTGTGATTATAGTGTCCGTCTTGTACCTTTCTTTTGCTTCTCTTTAATTTCAATAAAATTCATATCTTATAAAAAAAATGACACTGCATCTCACACCTTTGGTTGGGAACTCTTGATTGAATATTTCTCTGTTATTGAACAAATTAATAAAATTTCTTTTACTTATAATAAAACAGTTGAACAATGTTTTAATATAACTGTAATTATGGTGTATTAGGTGATCTTTGGATTGCTGATTAGGTGCTTCAGTTCTATACATGCTCATATTTTGCTTAATTTACATCTTGTTTTGATTTCTTTCTATGTTCCTTAGTAAAAAAGTGTCATTCCTAATCAAGTAAGAGGCATATAGAAAGTTCCTGGGTATCTACACTACTCATTCGATGACTCAACTGGCACATCTTTCTCATACTGCATATACTTGTATAGGCACATGCATAAATGTGATTTTGTGCATCTTCATTCATCAATTTTTCTTTCTTTCTTTTTTTTTTTTTTTTGAAGGGGGGAGGGGTTAACCACCTCTATCATTCTTCATCTATACTTAATTCTTGTGCTATATATTTTACAGCGGTAACCTATGCTGCCATTTTGATGGGTTGCAAAGCTGAGGACTTGATATTTGCTTTATCTACTTGTAAGATCCAGGCTGGAAATGATAATATTGTTCAGAAGCTAACATTGCGACAGGTCTAATAAATACTTATCTGATTTATCTCTCTTTCTCTCTCTCCCCTAACAACTCAAACTCCTGTAATTTTTTTGTTTTTCAATTTTGTTCAGTCCATTGATGCAAGGGATGCATTAGCAAAATTCATCTATGAAAGCTTGTTTGACTGGCTTGTAGAACAGATAAACAAGTCACTTGAAGTTGGTAAATGTCGTACAGGAAGATCCATAAATATCCTAGATATTTATGGGTTTGAGTCTTTTGAGGTATGCATTTTGTATTGGTGCATGATTAAGTAGTTTTTTTAGTTGCAAAATGGTTTTGTTTTCTGTTGACTTCATTCGTACATTTTGCAGGAGAATAGCTTTGAACAGTTTTGTATAAATTATGCAAATGAGAGGCTGCAGCAACATTTCAACCGGCATCTTTTCAAACTAGAACAGGAGGTGAGCATCCCATATCTATTTTAGCATCAAGATTGTAGGGCATAGATGATGTATCTTATTAAGCATGAGTTTAAAGAATCTTCCATGTTTCTTGCTTAGTCTCTTGTAACTAAAGAAATTAACACATATAGTTGTAATTGCTTGTATGGTCATTGGAAATGAATTGTCATTTGTTTTTCTTGTATCTTCTATGTAAGGAACCTACTCTCCTGACAAACAGGTATATGTCTTCGAGTATCTGCACATCTTGGTCTGATTTCTTGTCTTGAAAGATTTTAAGGATTCTATTCACCTAAAATAGGTCTACTTTGGAAGGGTTTTCATATCTACTTTGGGGGGTTGTTTTTCTCTATTAAAATCTGTATAAAGAGGCTTTTATGCTTCTCTTATTTTGTATTTAATTGTCTACTGATAATATTTCTACTAATAAAGAATTCATCTCTAAATACATTGAGAATGAACTTAGTAAAATTATAAAACATGAAATTTAAATATCTAAATCTCTTAAATCAGTAAGAAAAGCTCTGAAGTTTTACACCCTTTCTTTTCAGTGCAAATAAGGGTGTATGCGAGCGGAGCCAAGCTCAGCTCAGCAAAAAGAAAAAAAGGAGGCTTGAATTTGGCTCAACTCAAAAACTTATATGTTTGAGCTTGGCTCAGCTTGAGCTTGACAATGGGGCAAGCTTCATATAAAAATAAAAAAAAGTTTACATATAAAAATTATATGTAATTATGCATATAAAAATTAGTTCTTATTATACAAGCAGAAATTAAAAAGTATACATATAATAATTATTTATTATTATACATATAACAAGTTTAAAATATTATATATAATATAAGCTCAATTAGGCTCATGAGCTTCACAAACTGAGCTTCATTTTCGCTCGAGCTTGACTTGATTAGCAAATGAACCTATATATTGGGCTCGGGCTTGGCTTGAAGCTCGGTTTATCAAACTGATTTGGCTTTTCATGAGTCGAGCTCAAATAGCTCGTGAAAAGCTCTTTTCGTGTCCACTCCTAATTACAAATGAGCAACTGAGCAACTGAGCAGAATTACTAATTGTAAGGAATTTACTGCTACTCATGCAGTCAACTTTACAGACTGTTTGAGCTCAGAAGTTCAGAATTTATTATTTTGCTGCCTAGAATACCCTATCTTCTATGTCCTTGATACTTATATCTCTGACACAGTTATCATACTGAAGCAAAGGTAGACCAATGGCTACCCACTGATTGCCTTATTTTTCAGGCTGTGCCTTGCCAATTGGGATGGCTTTATTTTATTAGGTTAACTGTGTAATTAGACTTGAAGATTGTGCAGTTCAGTTGGATGCATTTATGCCAGGTGCATGTGGCTTGTCTTGGTCTCCATGTTTAAGCTTTCTTTCATACTTATGGGCATGACTTGTGACTTTTTTTTCAATAACTAATTCATTGCCAACTTATCCTACTGTGTTTTATAATGCCACTATACTTTTATCTCTTAAAAATGTGTCTACATATTATCTGTATTTCGGCATTATAAGATGTAATCTCTTTCTCTTCTAAATACCTCTTTTCCTTTCCTTCTTGTTGCATACAACAAGGATAAACTTGTTTTTCCTGTTAATGTATATACAGCCATTTTTTTAAATGCATGTATGGGTTTTGTGTCAAATCTGTTATCACTATGTGCTCTGCTGGATATTACCCCTTTAATTACCATCTTTCATTTGACTGATAGTTTGCTTGATTTCTGTAGCTTGTTCTTGTAAATTATAATAATTTGACCTTGTTATCCTGGATATCTATTACAGGAATACACACAAGATGGTATTGATTGGACGAAGGTTGATTTTGAGGATAACAAAGAGTGCCTTAATCTCTTTGAGAAGGTGAATCTTGTACAACGTCCTTGAATCAGATACTTTTCAATGTGCATATATGCTTCCCAGCTTAGAATCTAATGATGTATAGCAGCCCTCTTCTATTTAAAAGTTTTACACTTAAAAAACCCAAAATATATGGGTGGGTTACCTGAAAGTGTTATTGGTATATTATTTTCATGGTAGTCCTTTCCAAGAAATTGTTTCCAGAGAAGATTGCCAATTCTATTTTGTTTATTTGTATTTACTTTGTGGTAGGGTTGTGTTGTGTGAGCTTATGACATTACTATGATATGTGGTGCAGAAACCATTGGGGCTACTGTCATTATTGGATGAAGAATCAACTTTCCCCAAAGCTAGTGATTTGACCTTTGCTGATAAGCTTAATCAGCATTTGAATGCTAATCCTTGCTTTAAAGGTGAAAGGGGTGGGGCTTTCAGTGTTCGCCATTATGCTGGAGAGGTCAGTGATGATAACAGTTCAGAGGTTTACCTTGTTTTGAGCCTTAGGGTGGTTCAACTTTGTAGATATCGAATTTTAAGAAGTCAGCTTGGTGATAACTTTCGTCTGTTTTTTTCTTGAATTGAACAGAGTTTGTTAATGTTCATATATAAATAATGATATGATAAAGACAGTAAAAAGAGCAATTAATTGGAATTAATTAATGGTGTAACCGTGTAAGTTAAGTCCAATGATATATAATTACTGAAGAAGATATTAAAAATTGAAAGATTTAAAAAATTCATATTTTTGCTTCAAGAAAGTCCACTGGAACTTTGAAGTCTAGTAGCAGCTTCTTAAGGACATTCATATTATATGAGTGAACCTTCAAATCTAATGGTACCTTCTTTTAGATTTCCAATTTCATATTTGCAGTTGCACAGTTAAAATTCAGGGGGAAGTCAAGCCTTGCATAAGTTTGTGAACTTTTTTAATTAACTATTGCTGTTTTAGTTATTATCAGTTTGTTTCTTAAGAAAAGTTGTGCTAACATGAGGAGGTTTATCAGGTTTTATATGATACAAGTGGCTTCTTGGAGAAGAATAGAGATCCATTGCCCTCTGATTCTATCCAACTTCTCTCATCATGTAGTTGCCAACTACCTCAATTATTTGCTTCCAATATGCTTAGTAAATCCCAGAAGCAAAGTGTCGGAACAAAGTTCAAGGTAAAGGTGCCTATTTACATATTTGTGAAAGTAGAATACAATACCTACCTGGTGCATTTTCAACTTATTTTCCTTGTAAACCATAAGTATAATACATGTAAAAAAAAACAAAAAAAAAATGAAAGTAGAATTTAGTTCTCTGCAATATTTGTGCAACATAAGTAAATATCAATTTAGCAACTGTGAGAAACTCTGGGAGCATATATGTTATATATCCCTATCTTACTAGTATATCAAATGTTAGTTGTAGATGATATCTTTGTTAGAAATATCATATAAATTTTTTTATCAAAAAAAAGTATCATATAAATTTGGGTCGTGGAGCTTGCCTATTTTCCTGACACAGATGACAGATGGTGGCTTTTGTTGCAAAGATGGGTTTATGAGCTTTACTTATTGACTTAATTTAGCTTAGTTGGATTGGGCTGGGCCTAATGTCAAAGCTAGACTGAAATCATAGAACTGAATATTCATGATTCAACCTGTTATGTAATCTTTATCCAACCTGATCTCAAACTACTTGAGTTTGTTCAGGTTTAGGTTGATTTTCTTGACAGCATTATATTATTTGTAATTGGTGAGCTCAAGACCATCAGGTCAGAAGCATTGTTGGGAAGAAGGCATTGCGTCAATATCTATATTATCTAGTTAATAGTTATTTCATATGATGTGGGCTTGCATGTTTTACATGAGGAGTTCCTAGCTATCCACTCTTTACAGGTTGCAAGCTAAGTGGCAGCTCAAAAGATGCCATCTTCTCTGCAACTTCACCCTTGTGTGGAAATTTTCAATTTTTCATTGTGATGCTTAAAGTTCATGTTATATTGACACTTACAAATCCTAAGGTTTGAAAATGTTTTGAACATTCTTGTAGGGTCAACTCTTCAAACTGATGAAGCAGTTGGAAAATACCACTCCCCACTTCATTCGTTGCATAAAGCCAAACAGTAAGCAGCTTCCTGGTGTGTATGAAAAGGACCTGGTATTGCAGCAGCTGAGATGCTGTGGAGTGCTGGAGGTAGTCAGGATTTCAAGATCTGGGTACCCAACACGGATAACACATAAGCACTTTGCCAAAAGGTAGTGAAAAAAAAATTGTCATTAGTTCATCAACTCTTTTGTGATGAATATTGACATTCTTTCTTAATTTTTTCAGGTATGGGTTTCTTCTTTCGGTGAATGTTGTATCTCAGGATCCATTGAGTATATCAGCTGCCATTCTTCAGCAGTTTAATATCCTTCCTGATATGTATCAAGTTGGGTATACAAAGTTATTTCTTCGAACAGGGCAGGTTAGTTCTTTTCCTTCAAAGCCATTCATGGTAGTTTTCTTTTCATTTATTCCTCCTATTTAGCAAATTTTCCATGTAATTATGGATTCTATTTATAATAATCACAATTGTTCTTCCGTGAATATTTGAAATCAAAGAAGTAGAGAGGGATCCATTGACTTCTCTGATTTTGACCATTGCCATCATTTAATGATAGTTGGCTTCAGAATGTTGTTCCCTGTTTGCGTTATATTGGGAAGTGCTGGTAAAAACTGAAAAGGAGACAAGTGTTTGGTTTTCTTTTATTTTCTTCTTTCATTATTATTAGTGCTGACTCAATATGTAGGAACATCCAGAAAAAAAAGAAAAAAGAAGGAAGAAGCTATTAACAAATTTCATAGTTAAAATTTCAAGATCTTTTGAAACCCTATAATCTTTTATCCTTTTTTTTTGTGAGAAGAATATAAAACAGTGCCCTTGCAAGATGTCTAAATTAGGTTAAGCATTACTGCATTTCTTTGAAAAGGACCAATGTTCTGGATGATCTAGCAAAATAGTTTCCTTTGGATGCCATATCTTCTATTAAAAGGAACAGTGTTCTGGATTGGCCAAGTTATCCCCAAATAATTTGTGTGTGTGTGTGTGTGGTGGGGGGGGGTCAGGGGAGAGTTGGGTGAAGGAGATCTTTAGTTGTGAATGCCTATTTTCCCTTTCTCTGAAATGTCTGAGCTATATCATCATCATCCATGCCTTAATCACAACTATATGGGGTCAGCTACATGAATCCTGTTTCGCGAATCTGTTCTATTTAAAGCCATATCCATTGTTAAATTATAAGTGCTTAAATAATTTCCTACTACTTCTACCCATGTTGTTTTTGGTCTACCCTAAGCTCTTCTAGCCCCTTCAATGTGTAATAAACCACTTCTTCTAACTGGTGCAGTTGGTGATTTTCTATGGATGTGCCCAAACCATCTTAGTTTCTCATTTTATCACCTATTGGAGCTACTCCTAGGTCTGGGTTGTGGGTCAGCAGTTCAACCGTGGCATCGTAAATGAAAAAATATAAATATAAATAAATGGGTCAACTTGTGGCATCATAAATCAGATAATAAAAAATGTAAAAACTATAAATAAATAGGTAAAATGTAGAAACATATGGAAAACTACAGAAAATATGAATATTCTATGAAACAAAAAAATGTTATTGATGAGAATTTGTTGCCATCAATGATAAAATGGCTAAAGGAATACAGAAAATGCAGAAAAAATAACAATGATAAATAATTATATACTTCACTTGCTTTTAGATTTAACTTTTCTTTTTAATACCTTAAAGCTTCTGTTCGGTTTGGTGACATTAAAAGTATAGGTTTCACCTAGGCTTTGCTACTGCAGTCAATTCTAGCAAACTAATAGTTGGTGCCTAAGCTTCAAATCCTTTGTATACCACACATCCTCTATTAACTTGTTGCCTAATCATCAGTTTTCGCTGCTGTCAATGCTGACAGGCATTTCAAGCAAATCCTCTGTATACACTATGTTGAACCTGAATCTTGTTGCCAACCACTACTGGTTGCAACCTTGTCTAAGTTTTGGTCACCAGTCATTCTTGTATAGTTGCTGCTGGCCACTGTTAACACTCATCCTCAATGTGAGAATGAGACTGAGTCATTCAAAGTTGAGACCAAGATTTGAGATTAAACTTTGATTGTTATTGCTGGGTTGTGCTTCAATCTTCATTGCTAACCACCGATGTGTCCAACTGCCAGAGGTCAAGTGGCTCTGGTCATTGTGACCTGTTATTGGGCCTGTAAATGGAGTGAATTCAAATCAAATCAGTGCATATTTGAATTTGAATTTGATTAGATAAATACTCATTCGGATTCGATTCAATATCCGCCGAATATACAAAATCAATAACTGAATATGATTTTGTTTAAATAATTGAATATCAGATTTGATTTGAATTTGAAATTGTCTTTCATGGAGAATCGTAGATTCCAAGTCCTACTAGTGAATATCCAAGCTCCTTGCTAGTTGCCTAACCAGTGGCATAGTGGAGATGCATATCTGTTTCTTGTTGGAGATTTGAAGTCCCAGGTTCCACCTAACCACTGATGTGAATATCCGATTCTGAGCTCCTATTCCTTGCTAATTGCATAGAAATGCAAATGCATAAGGGAAAGGCCACCAAAACCGAAAAGCAGAAGATGCACATCTGTGGATGTGAATTGACTTAGGGCTATCAGGTTGAAGATTGAGAACAAGATGGGGACTTACCATTTATGGTTGCATGTCAATGCTCGAAGGTATAGCTGAATCAATGTTGATGCTCAACCAATCAAATGCCAAAGGGATTGGGGTCTGAGAAGTGGGAATGAGTCCTTTAGGTTGTGTTTGGTCTAAAGAAATGGTGGGGAAAGGTTGGGAAACCTGTACGGGTTTCCCTATCTTTCCCTTTCTTTTTTTGATCAATATCTTTCCTTCCTTTCCCTACCTTTTCTTTCAAACCAAACACAGCCTTAGGGTTATGTCAGTGCTCTTGGAATGGAATGGAAAATTAAATGATTGAATTGATTGGGGATTTAGGGTTAATAGTTATTTTACTATTATACCCTATGTTACATAACAATATTAATGGAAATAAGAGAATCATTCATGTAATTTCATTCTATAAGTTATTATTATTATTCTTTTTGAAGATAAATAAAGAAGAAAGTTTTATTACTAAATAAAAGTAAATAGAACTAACACAGGTGACAAGGAGTCACCCCAACAAACAGCATATAAGATTAAAAAGATAGTCTTACTAATACAAGAAAGAAAACATAACCAAGAAAGAAATCCTAATTAGTCATTCGAAGTGTGCCAAAAGTCAGCTCCAAAATCTTCTTTCTTGAGGCCTTCAAATTTTGGAAGAACCAGCAACCAGCCAACAATCAACAAACTGATTGCTGCCCCAACTTCTTCCATGCTTTTCATCTTCGCCTCAAAGATCCTCTCTTGTTTCTCTCCTTCCATACTTCCCAGCAGATAGCAAAGGGAATACAGCTCCAGATAATTCTAGCTTTAGAGCTTCCATGAACTCTTGGTCAGCAACCAAAAATTTCAGAAGTGTCCATTGGCTCCCATCCAGCCACCTTGAAGAGCTTGAAGAAGAATATAAGTTCTCATATTATATAGTAGTGTATATTAATATATGATATAAATAAATAAATGGTTCAGATAAATATTGGATTAATCATGTTATATTCGAATTTGATTCGATTACATTGAATCCCAAATTCAAATTCAGAGTTTTGGATACTGTTTAAAGGTCTATCGGTCATTGAACTATCAGGATTTTAGGACATAGCAGTTTATAGGCTAAACGGAACTGGAATCTTGTCCTTGTGGCGGGTTGACTGATCCAACTGTTTGGGTTAACAAAGGATTTAAAACATTGGTATGGATCATCCGTCAGGTAAGGGAAACATATGGATTGGCCATAATATTGTGTCCTCCAGAACTCATTTTCCCTAACATCATTTATTGGAGGTTTCCCTCAATAACATTAGCTATCGATGGTTTCAATTTTTCAGCTCAGAAAGTTCTCCAAAAATGGCATTGATTGTATGTGTGTGTGTGTGTGTGTGCGTGTGTGTGTGTGAGGAGAATATGGAACATTTTTCCATATCAACTATATGCTTTTATCATTTTCTTTCTTTCCTTGGCGATTTCAGTAGTAGACTTGTGCTATATATAGAGAGCTGTAAAACGGGCTATGTTGGGCCAGCATGCCAGCCCATGGGCCATCTGGAGCCATGCCTCCCTCCCCTGGGATATTTTGGGGAGTCGGCCCAAGCCTACACGGGCCCGTGCCATGCTGTGCTATGGACCGGGCCAAAGCTATGAAAGGTTAATTTAAAAAAATTGAAAAAAAATCTTAAAATTTTTATTTTATATGAATTTTGATATATTTGTAATTGTTTATATATACAATAATTAAATAAAATAGTATAATGAAATTGAAAACAATTGTCTATCTATCTATCTATCTATCTATCTATCTATCTATATATCTATCTATCTATCTATCTATCTGTCTATCTGTCTATCTGTCTGTCTGTCTGTCTGTCTGTCTGTCTATCTATCTCTATATATATATATATGTGTGTGTGTGTGTGTGTGTGTGTGTGGGCTAGGCCGTGGGCGGCACAGTCGTGCCATGCCGTGTTGGCCCACAGACCTGAAACCCCTGGTCTAGCACGGCCCGCACAATCCTATCTATCTATCTATCTATCTATCTATCTATCTATCTATCTATCTATCTATCTAAGCACGGCCCGCACAATCGTGCCGTGCTTGGCATGGCCAGTGTACCGTCGTGCAGGGCCGCGGGCGGCACAGCCCGATTTACACCTCTAGCTATATACTGGAATATTGTGAGACAGAAGGGAGAACAAGCTATAAATTATTAGTTTTATGTGTTTTTCTACATTTTATATATTGATGTGGTTGGTGGTACACAAAACATTGCTAAATGGATGCGAAAATATTTCTGCTGCTGGTTATGGCCAACTATGTGAATGTATTTTTGCTTCCGTAATTGGCTTCACCAAAAATTTAACAATATACTATTTTGTTTCAAATTTGTATTTCTTTTATCATGTCTTCATCATTCTGCTATATGTTTGGTGGTTTCTAGATTGGTATATTGGAAGATGCAAGAAAGAAAACACTGCAAGGGATACTTTGTGTTCAAAAATGGTTCCGTGGTCATCAAGCTCGTTGCTATTTCCAGAAAATCAAGAAAGGAATCACTAATTTGCAATCATGTAATGTATTTTCACCCATTCTAATGCAATGGCTTCCATTTTACTTTTCCTCCTTCGCTGCATATGTACTTCTATCTTTCTTTTTTTTTCATTTTTTTTTTCTTTTTCCTTTTTTTGGTAGTAATGAGGGGTCTCTAATTAGAAGTTACATTCCCATTCAGATATTAGGGGTGAAAATGCAAGAAAGGAATATCAGGATTTGGTAAAGAGGCAGAAAGCAGTTGCTCTCATACAAAGGCATATGAGGAAACAAATTACTTGGAGAACACAAAATGATAGGAAGAGGGCTGTCATACTTCTGCAGTCTGGTAGGCTTTTAAATGACCTAATATCCTGTGTACTTGTTTCACTTTCTTATAATCTTATTTTGGTTATGTTTTAAAGTTTCGTACTTTGCTGCAGTAACCCGTGGTTGGTTGGTTAGAAGGCACTTAAATGATATGGAGAATTTGGTAAAATCGAATTTCAGTAACACAAAACCTATAGCGAAGCAAGCTGCAAAGATTCTAGAAAGAAAGGTATTTCATTGTGTTTCACCTTTCATTATGAGAGAAAATGTTTCTTTCTTCCTACTTTCATTATGAGAGAAAATCTTTACCTACTGGGCTGGGTTAACCCTATCCCAATCTGAACCAACCTGAAAAAAGTAGTGTTGAGTTAGGTTTGGTTTAAGATTAGGGTTGAGGTCTGGGTAACCTGATCCAACCTGAACCCAAAATGTTTTCATATTTTCATATATAATATCATATAAATATGTATTGGTGCATATAGTATGCATGCATACATGCATTTGTGTCAACAGTTTTAAGTTTAAAGGCGAAAATTTTTTAGTGTAATATAAATATGGTACACCTAAAGTACAATGACTTTGTTCCTGTATGTACTATGTAGTAACCTTTATTGGACAATCCTAAGTTTAAGAAATTGGGCTAACCTAAACCAACCTGAGCACAATCTGGTACCAACCCAACCGAAGATCATTGGGTTGGGGGCTCAACAACTCAGGTTGCATTAGGGTTGATCTCAACCAGATCTGACCTGGCCTGACTTGCACCCCTATTCCAGATACACTTGACTTTCTTGAGTAGTAATCAATTCAGCAATCAAATGTTAATTAATTTGATTAATCTAATGCAAAAAAAAAAGGAAAAGAAAACAGATGTGAATTAGAGAAAAAGAGAGGAGATAAGAGAAGAAGAAAATATGGGGAGAAAACAACAATTTGTGGGGCATTACTGTTTTCCCATTATCTTTTATACTAATCACTGTGTATTATCAGGAATAGTTACAAAGCTAAGCCTGTTTATGTGGCAGCAAGAAAAAATAAAATATTCGTGAAGGTCCACTAACAGTAAAAGCCCAATAAAGATTTTGCATTACCAACTAAAGAAGCTGATGACTCAGTAGTTGAGATGGTCAGTCAGCATTCCTGCAAAATAGGAGTTGTGATATTAAACCCGTGGAACTGCATGCTCTCTGTGGTATGATCAGTAGGCCCCACATGTACCTTGCTCTGCCCTCTCTAAATGTGATCTATGCAATACCAAAAAAAAAAAAAAAGAAAAGAAAAGAAAATAAGTTCTATAAACAATTAGATGGCCTATCTCTCAACATGTTGCATTTGTCATGACTTGGCATTTCTTCATATTTGTGAAGATCTGTATTTATTACTTCCATGAACAAATGATCAGTTTGTTGATCTATAAGGCCAAATCCTTGAAATCTTCAGGAATTCCATGTATTCTTCTGTTATGTTTTCCAACATTAATTGCGAGATGAATTAAAATGAAACCTGGATTGTACCTTTTATTTTGATAAAAGATAGAAGGATATTATATGCAAGAGTCCATCTTTGATATTGGAAAAAACTGATAACCAACCAACTGGTTTCATAAAAGTGGAAACAAATTAACTGGTATTCATCAAACTTCACCAGGGGGGTGGTCTGATTTGTCAAAGTTCTTCTGGCATGAAACCCATCTGGCATCATAGAAATTGCCTATATTGCAATGAAAAGGAAAATATTTACAAGTTCTACTTTTTAAGGGATTCATTTATGAATTTACAATTGGAAAGGTGAAGAAATTTAACTCTGTTAGGATTTGGAACAGGAGCATACACAGGTTCAATCTTCTGTTTTGGAAGAGCTCCAGCGAAGGGTTCTGATGGCAGAAGCAGCATTGGTGCGAAAGGAAGAGGAAAATGCTGCACTTCAGGAACAACTTCAGCAATTTGAGAAAAGATGGTCAGATTATGAGGCAAAGATGAAATCCATGGAGGAGATGTGGCAAAAGGAAATGACGTCATTGCAGGTAATTTTTTGATGTTTGCCCTTTCTTTCGGTTTTGATAGAGGAAAGATGGAAGCATCTATTGTTTCAGATGCACCATTTAGTTCCGAGGAAATGGGATGAAACTAATTGATTTTCTGTAGGCAAAAGCTTTTTTTTTCTTTTTTTTGTTTTTTTACTTTCTGTTTAGCTTGAATGCTGATATTTTTTGTTGGTGCTTTTGGCCTCTGATTAATTTCAAGAAACCTCTTTATGAAGCAAAATTTTGGATCCACCCTGCCCCTGCATATAAGATGAAAATTTCTGGTTGTGTTAAAATAAACATTATTATTTTGATATATTTGTTGTCTAATGCATCTGATCATTTATAGATGCTAATCATTTCTAAGTTTGGAATGATGCAGAGGAGCCTAGCTATAGTAAAGAGGAGTCTTGCTGCTGATGACAATGCAGGCGAACCTGGAAGGCCTGATGCTTTGCCAGTGCTTCACTGTTATGATTCTGAGGATATCACGTCTCCAGGAGCCCACACCCCTGATGTTACCACCCCAGAGAAATTATCTAATCTTACACCTGATAATGGATTTGGACAAGCATCTGATGCTGGTCTTAATGCAGTTAGTCACCTGGTAAAGGAATTTGAGAAGCGGAAACAGGTCTTTGAAGAAGATGCTGGATTTCTTGTTGAGGTCAAATCAGGACATTCTGCTTCTAGTGCGAACCCTCGAGATGAACTCCGGAAGCTAAAGCTAAGATTCGAGACTTGGAAGAAAGAATACAAGCTAAAATTACGGGAGACAAAGTCCACACTCCATAGACTTGGTAACTCAGAAGTAGAGAAGACTCGTAGAAGATGGTGGGGGAAGAAGAGTACAAGAGGAACGTAGCAATATGGATTTTTAAACTTATTCTCCTATTTTACTGGCTCTTTCTAAGCTATTTGGCCTTGAGGTTGCCATTGCTTCACATGCTTACAGAGCGGGGGTACATATAGCAAGCATAGAGAGCGGGATTGTGTACTGCAACAACTGAAGAGAACTTTAAGCAAAGGAAAGGCGAATTTCTCAGCATCTATGGTGCAGTTCCCGTCCTCCCCATTCCTGGCTGTGCGTCTGCCAGTATTTATGGTCTGAGTGTGGTTGGGTTGGAGAAAGGAGAGGCAGAGGGAAAGGAGACGCAAGTTGTATGTCTCATTTTTGTTACGTGCTGGAGGAATTGGATAATGGCTAAGAAGCATGCGAATGGATTTTCCCCTCAAGCAGGTAGGGAATATTTATGTATATTCTGTTGTCATTGATGTAAACACAGTTCATAGCATCTGGAACGAAGAATGTCAGGGAAGATGCTATCTTCCATGTCTCTAACTGCTTCATGGAACTATTCAATGGATTAATACAGCTCATTTTGATCCATCTAATTCCGTTTTACCATCATTCTACTTTTAACCCAATGTTAGAAAAGATCAAGTCATGGAGCGAGGCATCAGGGCCACTAGGTCCATTAACCATAAGCTTCAAAGTGTAATCACTTCCTTTGTGAGGAGAAATGATGATACACATACGAGGGAAGTAAAAGGGTAATGGATCAGTCATCTGATATTTTTTTCAAAAAAAAAAAAAGAAAGTCATCTGATATTTACAGTCCATGACTCCAAGACTTTAGTTTGTTACTATAATGGAAGAAAATAAATACACAATTGTTTTTATAATTTTTAATTGCTAGGAACTGAAAGAAAACGAGTAAATTATGATTCTCCCCTCCATTAACCTTCGTTCAACTCTTTAATTCCTTATAATTTTTAGAATTGTGAATAGCATTAACACCAGCATTATCAAAGGATATTCATTCTATCTGACTGATATAAATGAGTTCCACTCTCCAAATCCTATTACTGTACTAAGATAATCTACAGAAACATTTGCCATTTCAATACATTTTCACAAATATAAAATATGGGAACAAGTACATGAATTTTAAGATCCTGGCACGAATTTGGTGGCATAGACCCAAGCATTGTTGGCGACAGGGTTGTCAAGGTGGTCCAAGAGATTCTCGAGAGGGCCCTTGCCGGTGACAATAGCCTGGACGAAGAATCCGAACATGGAGAACATGGCGAGGCGGCCATTCTTGATCTCCTTCACCTTGAGCTCAGCAAAGGTTACAGGGTCATCAGCAAGGCCCAGGGGGTCAAAGTAGGTTCCACCAGGGTAGAGGTTGTTCCCCTCGCCCACTCCTGGGAGGCCATTGATGCGGAATCCTTCTACCAGTCCCATAAGGATGACTTGGAAGCCTAGAACTGCCAGAATGCTCTGAGCATGGACGAGGTTTGGGTTGCCCAGATAGTCAAGCCCTCCTTCAGAAAAGATCTGAGCTCCAGCTTTGAACCAAACTGGTTCCTTGAAGTCCACTCTAACCCACTTCTCAAGAACTTCGGGGGTGATGCACCCGAGTGCGCCCAGCATAGCCCATCGGCCGTGGATCACCTGACATATTTCAAGCATAAAACCATTACTGTAATTATTGTTCTGATAAAGCTGTCATATTTATTTCAAAAAACCAGAAAATATAACCAGAAAACACTGCCATCTCTCTCTCTCGAGCCAACTCGATTTAATCGACCACTAGGCACTAGTAAATGGAAGCTGATGGATTACCGATTACCTCAAGAGCCCTGTTCCTAGCGAAGGCCTCTGGGTCAGCTGATAAACCGGCAGTGTCCCAGCCGTAGTCTCCGGGAAATTCTCCGGTGAGATACGAAGGTGTTTGAGCAGAGAAGGGCCCCAGGTACTTAACACGGTCCGGTCCATACCATAATTCGTTCCCCTGTTCAAATTATAAAGCCGAAGTGAAGAGAAAAAAATTTTTGCTTAGTAATACTCCAATAAATCAAGAAGGTATAAAAGGAAGATATACAGAAGATGTGGAAGCCATTAATAAAACTTGGGAGCTTAGGTTTGGTAGCACTCCTCTGGAATGTTTCTGATATTCCCGAGTTCCCTGCAAAACCAGAAACGTTCATTTGGAATGTTACCTAACGCGGCCTTACCATAGTGAACTTGCCGGTTCCCATAGAAACAACATTTCTAAGTGGGTTTGCGTTGGATCCTCTCTGACCCAAGAACGGGGTTGGTCTAAGGACAGTCGTGGAGCTGGCGGATGCTGCCATGAGTGTGGCCACCATCTCTATCACCTTTCGGGTTGTATGGGTTGCCGGAAAGAGACCGGAAAGTTTCTGGGAAGCAGTTATTTCAGATGGGACTGTACGAGGGGTTGTGATAGCTCTGAGAATTTAATTGCAGTCTGAGAGAGTGAAGGAAGAAGCATGTATTGTGTAGAGAGGGAGAATCAGAACGGGTGGCTAGTAATATTAGGGGGTTTTCGAGGTTTCAATCAGCCAATAGCAAGGCTTTGAAGGATTTGAAGTATCTCCAACTCACATCCTTCTATCCACACGTTTTGTCCTGTCTCTAGAACCAGAAATTGTCATTGTTTAATAACTTACAGAGTTACAGTGATTAAAACATCTAGCAAATGGGTTCATACTTCATAGATAAACTGTTCCATCGTGAACATGACCTTGACCATAATTGAATGTTTGATCAATAGGTCGACGACACTAAATTTCTGGTACCACAGAAATTGCCTTTTTTTAGAGATGGAGTCCATTAACGAACTGAGTTCCGAGGATTGAGCCTCAAAGAGGTGCCACAATCAACTTTCAACGAATAGATAAAATAAATAAATAAATAAATAAATAAAAGACAAATGCTAGCATGTGGAGTACTGATCTTCTATATGATATGTATGTGTGATATGAACTTGTGACTAATGCTGTCAATGGACCGATTTTGGGTCCAAAATCAATTTGGATGGAATGGACGGACCAATAAGACATATTGAATTGGATCGGTTCAGATTTAATGTCCCAAGTCTTTATTGGATTGGAAAGGATCTGGTCCGTCCATCTATAATATATTTATATTGGATTGGGTCAGACTGAACCAATATCCGGTAAGATATACAAGTGTTCAATGGATCAGGTTTGGATTAGAATAAATCTAAATTAATTCTAGGAATAAGTGTCTGGAATTAAGGATCCGTTTGGTTTACAGTCAGAATTGGAATTATAATCGAAATCTTTCTGACTTCGAATCGGAATGGTCTATTCCCATAATCTGTTTGGCTTAGACAGGAATAAAAATGAAAATTGGAATCAACAGGAATGAAGATTTCATTCCCAAGGGAGGGGGAATGCCATTCCACCAAGAATGAAAATGGGATTCCGATTTCGCCCAACCAAACAATTGGAATCGAAATAGCCCATTCAGATTCTGATTCCAGACACCCTATTCCCACGAACCAAATGGGGCCTAAATAACTCATGACAAAAAGCCCCCAAATCCTAATATTAATAAAAATAATAAAATCTTATTAAATTAACAATAAGTTAAAAATAAGGGTAAATCTCTTAAACTACCCCTACTGTTCACGAAATTGACAAACTATACCCTTACTGTTTACATATTGTCTTAAAGTACCCTTAAGTTTTTTGACAATTGTCTAAAACCTCCCTTGCCGTTAACTTTTCGTCACACTCCGTTCACATGTGACATCACATGAGTGGTAATTATTTTAAAATTCCTAAAATACCCTTATTGTTCACCGCCATTGTCGAAAGTTGCAGTGGTGGCGATGATTTTGGTATCATTGTCGCAAGTGACGGCGACCACTACAACTTACGAACAACAAAAGTTTGGTGATCACACAACATTGATCAATACCCACCCATTCACCACAACAAATCGGACGGATTCAAGGACCCTTGTCCATCGTGTTTGAAGGTTGTCCATGTGTAGTGAGGAGCGAGGGCAAGAACTAGAGCAAGAATTCCTTTACAAGACAAAGGTCGTACAGAGCAAGAATGCCTTTACAAGATTTGTCTTTTGCCAACCAGTTCAGAAAGTACATGTTTTGGCTTTATCTTGTGAATCTGGTTCAATCTCACTGAGAACAATGAAGCCATCATCTCCACCTTTAGATCAAGCCTCGAATAAATTTTGTTGCAAAACAAAACAGGGCAACATAATTTAGAGACGCAAGGAGTGCCATTGTTCTTTTGTATCACCGTGAATTGGTGGAGAATTCCATTTGAAAAAAATACAGGGTACTATGATAAGAAATTAAATCACACACCATTTTGGGTTTTGAAGGAGGGTCGGGGAAGGATAGAGTGCTAGAGAGGGCAGCTTACTCCTGAACTTGGGTTGCATCAAAGCATACAACCCCACAAAGCCAACACCACATGAAATGGCACGGTGTAGAACCCAATGGCAGCAATCAAACAAAGCACCATGAGCAAGAAAGTGGCTATTGGATCTCTGCAAATGTTTGTATTCTCCCAGGCTTCCATAGCTACTTCGTTGTCAGCCGTACATCGCTGCTATACATCGTTGATTATCTAAGACGTGGTATCCCCATCGTGAAGTGAGACTTGGAGATTGAATCCGCGAACCAAACCTTGAAACCACCTTGGATTCAGATATTCTACTTCTGTGAACCAAACCGTCCTCTGTATTCGATCCTTTGTCCAGACTAATGGCCAGGCCTGTTACTCTTGAACAGACGAAGGTCTATTGCCAACCAGTTTAGAAAGTACATGTTTTGGCTCTATCCTAGCAAGAATGAACCAGATCTGATTCTTGATCATCACTTGCCTCACTTTCACTTCTAGCTCTACATTCTTGCAGTTGTGCTGTCGTCTGAACATTGATTTTATCCTCCAATCGGGTATGACTTCAGTGCTGATGATGCTGTGAACTGGAGATGCATGAAGTCCACAGCAAAGGGAATCCACTTTTGGTCGGGAAATATTGCTGCCCCCATGATATGATTTTGGGTTTATTTGTTCACCAGTTGGGTTTTATTTTGAAAATTTGATGAATAGTGAAGGTGAAAATTAGATATTTCATTTTTTTTGTTAGTGTTTACCGGTGTGTCAATTGTTAGAAAACTTAAGGGTAGCTTAAGACAATAGGTAAATAGTAAGGGTACAATTTGGAAATTTTGTGAATAGTAGGGGTAGTTTAAGAGATTTATCTTAATAATAAAAAAATAATATATTAATAATAAAATATTAAATTATTAAAAAATATTAGCAAAATAGTAATAAAACAATAGTACTATAATAAAATATTAATAAATTAATAATAACAAACAATATTAGTTATTAAATTTAATAATAATAAATAATAAATAAATATTACTAGAAAATAATTAAATTAATATAAATAATAATAATAAGACATTAATAATTAAACAATAAAATATTATGAAACTAATAGTAAGATAATAATAATAATAATAATAATAATAATAATAATAATAATAATAATAATAATATAAGAGTATATGAATAATTGAAATAATAACAAAATATTAGTAAATATTCATAAAATAATAATACCATAATAACATATAATATATTAATAGTAAAAACAAAGATATTATTTATATAATAATAATAATAATAAAATAATGATATATTAATAAAATATTCATAAATTAATGATAAATACTAAGATATTAATTTGTACAAATTAACAGATGTTTAGCCCACGAGAAGTCTGTTTTTTATCTATACATCTGTTAATTTGTACTTTCTTTTTCTTTTGTTCTTTCATTCGTACCAAGACTCAATGGTCGGTCCTGCATTTTTTTTTTTTTTTTTTGCTTTGTTCTACTTCCATTAGGAAACTAACAGTAGATTTTTCCTGTAAAAGAATTATTTTATAGAAAGAACAAAGTTAATCTATTTCTGTCATTCCATTTCCCTGGGAAATCGTTTGCAGCACCTGAAACTGAAAGTCAGTAGTCTAGTGGTTTATAAATCTGCTCCATGGTTTTATTTTCCTTTCTCACCAGCCAAATTAAGGCCATTTGCGACTTGTAAAGTTAGGGCTAATCAATTGATCATACGCCAGATCCGGAGCATAGAGGTGTAAATAGGGACTTGCTGGGCCGGCACGGCATGACTCATTGGTGGCCCATACTTTTGGTGGGTTGTGTCGTGCTGGTCCGTGGGCCGAGTTGGGCCGTGCTTTCTTTCCTTTGGGAATTTTTGGGAGTCAGTCCAGCATGGCCCATGGTTCGAGCTCATGTGGGCCCATGTTGTGCTACAGGTCGAGTCTTGGGCCAGGCCGGGTTGTGGATCGGCCAAGCCATGAGAAATATATTTTTTTAAAAAATGAAAAAATAAAAATTTAAAGTAAATTAACACAATAGACAAAAAAATAAAAAAAAGTCTTAAAATTTTATTTTATATGAATTTTGATGTATACAATATCTCAGGCCCTGTACGACCCACGTTTCGTCATGCTGGGCTATGGGTGACATGGCTCGATTTACACCTCTAGCTTAGCACCTATATAGCCTAGGTCAGGCTGAAAATGACCATCCCAATCACTAATCAATTTACGTTTCTAATGGCCCTAGGTTGTGTTTGATGCCATTGCCACTTCTACTTGCAATATTTTAGGTTAGTAAATAGAGATTTTAAGAAAATATATATTTTTTTCTACCACAAATGATTTGAGTTATAAATACAATATTTGGTACCATTGATATTTCTTAAGCCAAATTTGGTTTTTCTATTATAAATGCCAACACCTAATCCAATGCATATATTTAAGGGTGCTAATAGATCACATCATGATCTTATCCGATCTGAAGTCCGAGTTTTGTTAGATTCAAGTATCCTATTTTGGATTTTCAGATCGGATCAGATAATTGAATCACCTTTATCCAATTCGGAAGGACCCAATCTGATATAAATATGTTATTTATATTGCATTTTTATAAATTTTTATATTGTTTATTTTTGTATAAGAAACATGTATATATATGATGAAAACAGTTGAAATAATACTTTAATTTTTTGTTTTTTATTTAATTTATTATATTTTCTTTATATCTAATTTAGATATATTATGATTCGAATTCGATTCGATCCATTTGCATCCCTATTGATGTTTATTTAGTGAAAATGGTAATTTGGTGTGATGTGACAAGATAAATTTTAAAAATATTATATTGACCAACGTAAAATGTTGTAAGTAGAAATTGCAATAGTAACTAACACAATCCTAGTAAGCCCCAATAATAATTAGATATCTAACTAATTTTAGGGAAGACTTAGGTTGCATTTGATATCATTATTGTTTCTTTATAAACCATTTGGGGTTGATCAATAGAAATTAATATTAAAATTAATATGAATTGTCATGTCACATCATTGATCAATACAAATTGTTGGTTGTTATTCAAAACATCAAATTTGATGTTACATA